CTTCTAAAAGTTGAGTAGAATTTCCAATTTTAGTAACTATATAACTGGTTAGGAACATTTTAGGAATTGGTTTATTATTTCTTCTGGATTCTAAGGAAAAACGTCCCTTCTTTCAGAGAACGTGAGCATGTGCACAGGCTTCTTAAAAGTCACATTTCCAGGGAAATCCGTATGGAGAACCCAACCCTTCTGCTTTCCTTCTGAAATCCGTTTTGGATCTGTCCTCTCCCTACCAGAGTCTTGGCATGGCCCACCTGGGGTTCAGGTTCCACGAGACCGATGCACACACAGAATGCGGGTGTAGGACTGAGTCAGGGCTTGACTCATTCAGCCTCACGGAGTGGCAGAACGAACGTCAGCCACGCCGCGAATAGCCTTGGGAAGCGGTGGACAGGGCTGCCACTGCGCGTGAGCACACGTGTTTTTCCCACCTGGTCAGATCGATCTCTGGTGCCGCAGAGGTACCTCCGTGTGTGCACAGAGATACCACACAGCTGTGAATGCGCAGGGTTCGCCCAGGGCACCTGTGGGCCACGTACAGATGACGTCAGCAACGCCAGTAAATATCAGCGTCTTGTCAACCTGTCCCATGTCCAAGCTTGTTGGTCCTCAGAAAAGGATATTACGGAACATTTCTAGCTGGAATAGTATCTCAAAATCCAAAATATCGCCAAGGATGAGGTTGATTTATAAAATGGGGGAAATGCTCAAGCAGATGAGCGCAGACCTGGGGTTTGAAGCCACTCTGCTGAGATTTCCAGCAGAAAGCCTCGTAAGTTGACAACCATGAGGAGGATGAGGGAATGAAGGGCTGGAGCAGGTCCCCCCAGGCATTCAAGGAACTATGGCCCCGGCGGTCACCCAGGAGGCCGGAGCTGTAGGCTGTGGGAGCTCCAGGGACGAGGTCGACGCTGAGCCCCTTGGCGCGTGAGCCCGACTCCCTGGAAAGCTGGGTGACTCAGAGTGAGTCACCCTCCGCATCTGGGGAAGAACGGAGGGGACTCTGTTCCTGTATAGGGATGATCTGATGCGTCCATATCCACGTGCACTCCGTGGAGCCCTCATGGGGCCCGAGCCTCTTTAGACTCAGAGGAAGCTGTAATTTGAGACAAATGAAAACGGAGCTGGGAAACCTGCCGGGACCTGGGGTCATGTGTGAGACTAGGATCCCTGATCAGTCTTGGACTGGGGTGGGGTGGCTGACATAAGGGACCAGGAACAGGCATACTCAGGGGTGCCGTTGGAGAGGGACAGCCCTCCTTGGAGGCTGCAGGACATGCCCATCCCGCCTGTGTGGCTGGATCACCAGACAATAGAGCATCTCCCTGCAGAGTCCCAGAACCCTCTGGACAGGAGGAAGCCCCCAGCCTGGGCCTTGAGGCCCTCTGACCCTCCAAGAGCTAGATGCATTGCCTGGGCCCCACTCCAGGCCTCCCGAGACCACATCTCAAGGGGTGGGGCGCTGCCAACCTCAAGTTCTCCAAGGACTTCTTGGTGTGAAAAACCAGTATCTGGGGGCATGGCTGGGGGACAGGGACCAAAAGAAACAGAAAGATCCCAGCTCAGGGTTCAGTCTGTGCAAATGGATCCCTACACTCCCGTCTCCTGTAGGTCCCTTGGTGAGCTGGCAGGAGACATGCTAGGTGAAGCCCCTTATGCCCGCAGGGGACACCCCTCTTGTACTTCAACTGTATCCATTCAAGTAGCGCGAAAACTTCGCAGTCCTTTAGACTGATCCCTTTTAAAAAACACACTCCAAAAAACGGTGCTGTTCTGATAATCCCGTGATGCTGTGGGGGGAGGCTGGTCAGAGGAGATGGTAGCAAATCCTGGCCAAACCTGAGCGCACACGGCTCCTTGGACGAAAGCATTCTTCCCCATCTTCCGCGCCATGTCTGGAGGGCAGCTGTGGGCCCGTGGGGCAGGTCTTGGAAACGAGGTGGTCCCACAGCGGTTTGGGCAGCAGGGTGAGGAGGGCTAACTGATCTCTTTCTGCTCTTCACACCCTGATCAGTGGGCAATGCCCCTGGACACGTTCCCATTTGCATTTAGTAGAGCAAAGGCGTTTGAAGGCCTGGGGTTGGGGTAGGGAGCAGAGTTTCAGGAGCGGCAGGTTGCAAAAGGCACTTTCCCTCCCTTAGTCCACAGGGCCCGCCAGAAGTCCTGGGATGCACGGAAGGGGGAGCCTGGGGCTCGTTGGGTGGGGGGCTCCTCGTTCTTCTGGGTCTGTAACTCCACCCGTCTGCTGTGATGGAGGCAGGCAGAGGAGACAGAAAGGACTCGAGTGCTCCCTGACCTCAACAGCCTTTGTGTGGGGAGGGAGAAGGTGGGGAGAGTGAGTCCTGCATCTCCCCTTTGCTCTCTGAAGGCCCTGCCAGGTGTGGCGCCCTCCCCGGTGCCACTTAAAGCCACCTTTGGGCCCGCCATCACCCCGCGTGCCCGCAGCACCCCTACACACTCACCTAACTTTATGTTCTCCTCAAGTCCCCGGGAGCTTTTAGGGACTGGTGTCCATCTTCTGCCCTTCCCCCTCGGGTCCCTGTTGCATGGGTGGAGCTAGGCACCTTCGTCAGCGGGCGTGTGCAGGAGACCTTTCGGGAGGGGTTGTGAGCTTCTCTCTTCCCCGCAGGAGTGATCATCAAGAGGAAGAGTGGGGAGATCCCCTGCCCCTTGGCCGTGGAGGCATTTGCTGCGCACCTTAGCTACATCTGCAAATACGATGACAAGTACAGCAAGTGAGTGAACAGGTGGCTCGCAGCCACGGGAGGGCTCCTGCGGTCTCGCGGGCACGGAATAGAGGTTGCTGGGTGCTCAGGAACCCCCCAGCTTCAGAATGAACGGAGCAAGCCCCTGTGAGACAAACTCCTGAGTCCTCGTTCTGGCCTCTGGGCTCACCTGTGCAGCCCCCTCCCGTCCGGGTGCCCTGCCTCCTCCCCCACCACCCTTGCCCCGAGGGGCCCTTCCTTCCACTCACTTGGGTCTAGCCTGCACCCTCTGTCCCCCGGCCAGACTGCCCTCCGCCCGTCCCTCGCAGCTGCGGCCCCATCACATTGAGCCCTGGTTTCCAGCACAGGTTACATAACTCTTTCCACTCTGGATGCCCGTAGCAGGTGCACACCCACAGCCCCGTAACAGAAACTCAAGAAGCAATTGCTAGTGAACCTGAATGTGACTATTAATTGCCAGGGTCGAGCCTCACAACCTAGAACAAAGTTGGAGTAACCCCAAAGACAGGTGGGCGTTTACTCAGCCCGCTTGGAGGGGAATCTGCTGGACTTCATGGCAAAGAGAGAAAACCGAGGACCCAGTTCTCCCTGGAAAACTGAGCCTAGGTTCGGAGGGGAGCCCCACTCCATTGGGAGTCCTTGAGCAAATGTTCATTGCACGCCAGCTGTGTGTTCAGCACGGGCTGATTCCAGGCGGTTACTACAAAGAAATCCGCATTGATTTAATAAACACGTTCAGGACCGCTCTGAGCCGGTGGTGGTGAGGATACTGACCCTCAAACACTCCTCAGTCTGGTGCAGAGACAAAGATGCGAGGGAGGACGCAGTGCAGGGTTGAGTCCTAAGTTGGGCTGGCCCTGGAGGGGCCTCCCTGAGGTGACATCCGTCCTGGACCTGAAGGGAAGGCGGGGGTGGCAAAGAGACATGCATTCGGGAGGAGGGGACACATTGCAGACCCCTGCAGCTGAGGGTGAACTTGCCCTTGGGACGCGGAGGCAGTTCAGTGTGCCCGGGACACGGCATCCAAGGAGGGCTCTGGGCAAAGCTCGGGTCGGAGCTTCTGAGCCTCACCACGGAAGGCCTGGCTCCCTGTTCCAGCATCTCCTTCAGCGACCCCACTCCCAGCCAGTCCTCTGATAGGAATGGTTTTCATCTTCTTAGTCTCAGGTCAAGTTCAGTGTGACAGGGCCTCACTGGGAGCCAGTCCCCAGCCTGCCTCCCACCCCCGCGGCCCCTCGGTAGCAGCACTGACCGTGATGAGGCCCTTTGGGACCACCCCCCCCCGACGCGGGTGCCCGTGAACCTCTGGGGTCAGCCTCTCTTATTCCTCTGTCTTCGTAGGTATTTCATTTCTCATAAACCGAACAAGACCTGGCAGCAGGTGTTCTGGTTCGCTGTCAGCATCGCCATCAACAACGCCTACATCCTCTACAAGATGTCCGATGCCTACCACGTGAAGAGGTACAGCCGGGCGCAATTTGGCGAGAGACTGGTGAGGGAGCTGCTGGGCCTGGAGGAGGCCTCACCGGCCCACTGATGCCGCCGTGGCCAGGCTTAGGTGAGGACCAGGTCCGGGAGGCAGGAGGAGGGAGAGAGCCTGCCGTTCCGACCTGCCCAGCCAGAGCCCTGGGGTGCCCCCAGGGTGGAGGGGGGTGGGCCCGGCCTCCGCAGGGCCCAGGGTGGGCCTGGTCAGACGACGGCTGCTCTCCCGGTTCCCCTTCAAAGAAGAGCACGTCCTCCCTCCAGAAGCCGCCCACCCGGTGCCGGGACAGGTGCCGCACCCAGACTCTACATGCGGGCCCGGGCGCTGTCGGTGGCCTTTGCCCGGTGGGGCACCATATCCTCGGGACACCCATGGAGCTCACCTCAGCACGGGGGACCCGGGAAGGCTGTCGCCACCAGAGGCACCGGGGATAGGATGAGCCGTAGTGTGTTCTGCTAGAAGGGCCTGCTCTGTGAGGGTGTAAAGACACCGGGTTCCACCTCGTGCCGTGTCTGCAGGTGACCGGAAGCGAGCAGGTCATGCTAAGGCAGTTGGGCGTGTGCAGGAGACTGGAGCGTTCTCTGGCACTTGCCCTGTGCAAGCCTCGTAGAACGGGTCTCCTAGAACAAGAAACAAACTGGGTGCCGTGAAAATGCAGGGATGAAATGGGGGGAGCGGTTGCCCATTCTGATTAATAAATGAGGCGTCCCTACTCATTTCATTTCTCTGGCTGGTGGCCCGGGGCGGGGGGTGGGGGGAAGGGGAAATGCCAACAGAACCGCAGTGATGTGTGATGCTATTTTTTATTTTTAAATATATCTTCAGGTTATTTTCTTACTGTTGCTTAAGATCTTCTGTAAAAGGAAAATATCCCCCTTCTTTTCCGCCCCCTCCCCCACCCCAGCCGTGACTCCTTGCATGAGCACAGTTCGGCATTCCAGGCTCTGTGACTGTACCGGGCTGGAGGGGGCAGCTGGCTTCCAGAACAGACGTGGTTCCACTCCATCGAGGATCCTGGGGAGGGGGGGGTCTGTGGGCCTTATGCTTTGTCACAGACATTGCCATTGGCAGAATTCCTTGTTTCGAAAACGTGTAGCATTGCTGAAGCAAACAATAAAAGGTCTGGGGAGGACGCTTGCTCCGCCCCCCCACCCCCGCCCCAGCCCCATGTGCAGTGACCTGGCGGTGTCCACCCCTGTCCGCCCTCGGGACCCTGTGGCCAGCACACCCGAGCCCTGCGATGGGCCAGGGCCCCCAGCTCCATCGGGTGTGATGTCCCGCAGGGCCAGGGGCTCGCGCACCTGGGGACTGAGAGCCGCACACCCAGCAGCCAGCAGCAAGGGCTCCGCTGACTTCCCACAGCATCCGGGGCTCCTTGGGAACCCGGGTCCGCGTGTCTCTGGGGGAGGCCTCAGCCCGGCTCGCCCACTGGTCTGACCATCCCCCACAGACGAGAAACAGTGACTTCTGGAGTTACACGACCCCCCCTGCACCCCAATTTATGTAGCCCCCTCATTTTTTACAACTGCAAAATCTATTCTACTCAGGCTTTGGGACTTTCTTCCTTGTTCACACTCAGTTGATTCCAGGTGTTGCCGGCAGCATGCTCCTCAGCTCCATGTCATTTCCGTATCCTAGGTTCATGAGGATCCCCCTCGCCCTGTGGTTTGAATTCGATGCCACGGATTGTAGGCCACATTTTCAATTGTGTTTCAGAACACCTTCGCCGTATCCTTTAATTGGATTGAAAGCACTTTTACCACATGGAGAAATATATTTTTAATTTGTGATGCTTTTCTACGAGGTCCACTCTTTCTGAGTCTAATGTGTTTCCAACACTTGGGGAGACTCTGATGAAAGCTGATGAATTTTCTTTTCTGTCCAAATAAGTAAAGGAAAAAATAAAAGTCTATTTAGATGCTGATCCTTTTTGTTAACATGTGAATTTCTTTCCAACGTTAGGGACAAAAGTATGGGCTACTCTTTTAAGACTTGACTTCTTGTTCTATCATCTAGTGTGTATGATCTGGGACTGTTTTTAGTATCCTATGCCCCTGAGCAGTTAAAAAAAAAAAATTCAGTTAAGTCTTTTTTTTTTTCTTAAGATTTTATTTATTTAGAGGCACCTGGGTGGCTCAGTCGGTGAAGCATCTGACCTTGGCTCAAGTCATGATCCCAGGATGCTGGGATCGAGCCCCACATAGGGCTCCCTGCTCGGCGGGGAGTCTGCTTCTCCCTCTCTCTCTACCTCTCCAACCCCTCTCATGCTCTTTCTCTCTCCCTCTCAAATAAATAAGTCTTCCAAAAATTTTTTATTTATTTATTTGACAGAGAGAAAGCGCACAAGCCAGCCCTATGAGTGCAGCTGTATTCTAGGTGCCTGTGCGGGAGAAAACCCCCACCTGCCTGCCAAACGGGATTCTTTCTTGTTTCTTCTAGTCGGCATTGTCATCCACATCCGCCCAGAGAGGCACCGTTGGGACGGTGGGTGGGTGACTCTGCGTTACCAAGTAATTAGAGGGGGGACTTATACCATTTCAGTGCTCTGGGTTTTAAGTGGTAGATGCCTGTTTTCAGATGAATGCTTGAAGCAGACAGCAACTTCTAGTGGAGTCCCTGCAGGGTTGGGAAGAGTTTCTCTCCTTCTGGAAGGAGGAAAAAGTGACGTGGAGTACTTATTAGGAAAACCTGCAAGCAGGGGGACCTCGCCCCACCGATGTGAGGCTGACAGCCTTGGGGAATCGCTCCAGTTAAAATCCACCTGGCTCCAGTATCCCCGTGGGTTTGAAGGCCTCAGCTTGGCCCTAGATTGGCTGCTTTAGTAGCTGGTCCCTGCGGGTGCCGGGGGAAGGAAGTGGCTGTCACCAGAGGGGGTGCCGGCACAGCCTCCGCAAAGGCCAGGAGCAGGTGGGCACCTGTGCATCCCTGGCCGGCGAGAGCTACCTGGGGCCTGCCTCGGCGGCGCACGCTCCCCTGTGGGATCGCTTTGCTGCAGGGCCTAAAAAACAGAATAAGGAGCTTCCTGATCCTTGTGGAAAATAAAACAACAAAAGCCGAGAAGCTTCTCCAAAGAAAAGCTCTCTTAGACCAGATGCCCTGAGCTTCATGTGGTTTAAGTCCCAGTCCCAGGACTGCGACAATATTCAGAATTAGGTAAGGGAAGCCTTCAGAGAAGGGAACGTGGGTGAGCTTCTATTTGCCGCCTTCCTGATCAGTTTCTTTATTTCATTCACGTTGTTTCTTCTCCCCACATTTCTGCTGCCCCCAAAGCCTCAGTTTTGAACAAGGTCTGACTGTGGTCAATGGGGAACATTATAATACTAAGGCCATATTTCAAAACTCAGGTGAGTTACATCGGAAAACCTTGGTGTCTGGATCATTCTGGGCAAAGACATCCGGTTTCTTGGCTCCATCAGACAAGGCCCAGCCACCAGAATCGAATGAACTCTACGGTGGTTGCAGAGAAGATCGCAGACGCCAGGACAGGAGCTGGGAGGCTGTGGCCATCATGCACGGCCATGCGGTGCCACTGTCCTCGGGAACCTGGCCTCAGCATCGGGCAGTGAGGGAGGCGGGCAGACGCACCCACGAGGTGGAGGTGGCAGTTGGCATTGCAGCCCATGCCTTTTCTGACATTTGGGGCACTCACCCTGGCAGGCACGAGACACCTTGGTTGGTATAGGGGTGGCATATTCCAGAAAAGACACCAGATACGGCTTTGGCATATTCCAGAAAGGACAGAATCAGCCTCCTCAGAAGGCTGGAGCCAGACTGTATCTGACCAAAAACTGCCAATTTGTCATGCAGCCAATTACATGTAAGTGTCTTTGGAAAACACTTGCCCCAAGAGCCAGTTATGTTGGTGCCAATTATGCACAGGTGCCCATTTTCCAGAATGTTTCTGGAAAGCATGGCACCACGTGTGAACAAGTTAAAAAGTGGTCCCCTCCCAGAGGTCATAACCCAGCAGAAAGCTCTGCTTTCCCAAAAGCTCTCCCAGAAGTCATAACCCAGCAGAAAGAAAGTTTCTTATAAATACCAACATGCGGTTACAAAATTTTTATTCCTTCCATTTTCCCTGTGGCTTATACTTGGTTCTATTTTCTCCAAGGAAATAGGGTACTGACCTCCTTCTCCAGCCTGACAACCGGTGTGAGGGTTTGCTTGTCCCCAGTTAACTTCTAACGTCCCACCTCATTCAATAAGAAAGGGTCACGACTTCAACAAAAGTAGTGGTAGAAAAAATCATTCACTGGGAAGATGAGATTTTAGCTCTTAGCTCTTTCCCTAGCCTTGGCGGTCTTTCTAAAATGCATCTATTCCTCAAAAAATTAAAAACAGTACTACCAGGGGGTGCCTGGGTGGCTCCATGAGTAAAGCATGCAGCTCTTGATCTCAGGGTCGTGAGTTCAAGTGCTATGTTGGGCATAGAGATTAAAAGAAAATTGTACTACAATATGATCTAGCAATTCCACTTCTGGGTATTTATCCGAAGGAAATGAAGACACTAGTTTGAAAAGGTATGTGCAGCCCCATGTTCACTGCAGCATGATTTACAACAACCAAGACATGGAAGCAACCTGAGTGTCCATCGATGAATGAACAGATAAAATATTATATAGCCTTTAAGAAGAATGAAATCCTGCCTTTTGTGATAATGTGGATGGACCTTGAGGGAATTAATGCTAAATGAAATAAGAGAAAAATACTGGGGGCGCCTGGGTGGCTCAGTCGGTTAAGCGTCTGCCTTCAGCTCAGGTTGTGATCCCGGGGTCCTGGGATCGAGCCTCACATAAGGCTTCCTGCTCGGTGGGGGACCTGCTTCTGCCTCTCCCTCTGCTACTCCCCCTGCTTGCTCTCTCTCTTTCAAATAAAAAATAATAAAAATAAATTAAAAAAAACACTGTGTGATCTCTCTTATATGTGTAATCCAGAAAAAAAAATATATATATATAAATTAAGCTCATAGATCTAGAGAACAGATTTGTAGCTGCCAGAGATAGGGGACAGAGAGTGGGAGAAATGAGTGAACTTCTTTTTTTTTTAAGATCTTATTTATTTGACAGAGAGACACAGCGAAGGAGGGAACACAAGCAGGGGGAGTGGGAGAGGGAGAAGCAGGCTTCCCGCCGAGCAGGGAGCCCGATGCGGGGCTCGATCCCAGCACTCTGGGATCATGACCTGAGCTGAAGGCAGACGCCCAACTGACTGAGCCACCCAGGCGCCCCACTTTTTTTTTTTTAGTTAGATTGATACCAAAAAAATAAAAATGCCCTGAGT